CGGCACCGCAAGCGGTCTGCGACTCCCACGGGCGGCATCGCCGATGCATGTGCCCTCCTGGCGGGCTTCATCGCGATTCAGAGGGAGGCCGGCAAGTTTGACCGAACTCGTGCGCTGCGTGCCTGGGTGGCCCCTTTGTCCCTCGCTTCCTCGTCTTCTGCGCTGTGCTAGTGCTTGATTCCTGCAATGTGTGTAATATGTGTTGGATGCCTGTCTCAGCCTTGGAGGCCCCGTTCCTCGTCCCAACTAGCATGTAAAACCAGTGTTTGCGAAAACCGATGCCTGTGCTTCATATGCACGGTCTTCGGCATTTCTTCATCCCCTCTGGGGAGGCGGATTTCTACGTGTGAATTTTGTGACAGCTGGAGCCTGGGACTCTCCTCTCGCTGTTTGCTGCTGCTTGGCCCGCCTTTGCCCCTCCCCCCCTCTTTCGGCCAGTGTCAGTCATCCTCCTCCTCCTTCCTTCTCCCGTTTCTCCTCCTCCTCCTCTTTCTCTTCCTCCTCCTCCTTCGCCTCCAGGCCTTCTCCTTATCAATTTTTCTTCCTGTCGTATCCCGAAGCCGGTCGAAACGGCGGGCCGGGCGTTTCGCTTGATATCTTCTTACCTTACCGTTCATGATCCCGAGGCTTGACATTTGCAGGTGCTTCACGGATGGATGGTGGCTCCTTTGATATATCTTGTTTCCGCCTTAGTGCCGCGCACATTCGTTCTCAAAGCTTGCAGCCGTTCCATGGAATTTGTCTCAAAATTTTGCAAACCGTTTCGCGGATGGAAGGCGGGACGTTTTCAACGTGTGGCTCTCGCCTTGGCGCCGCGCAAACTTGCTTGAAGTTTGAAACGGCTTCATGGATGGAGGGCGGTTCTTTTTCAACATGTGGCTCTCGCCTTTGTGCCCCGCGCGTTCGCTCTAAGAGCTTACAACAACTTGACATATCTTCATGGCTAGCATCCCCAACTATTTCACAAGGTAGGATTGCCAGGGCGCAGCAGATACAGGGTTTCGTGGTGTTGAAGTCCAAGACATTGCGTTCTGGCACGAATCAGGATCGTCAATACACAACAGTAGCGGATATTCGCCGCGTTGATGTCTCAAGAACGGTGTTTTGGCATAGTACAGTTCAGGAACTTCAAAGGATAATCTTCCAACGAGGCACTCCCCTCAGTGAATCCGAGTCTTTGCGCGCGCCTATGAAGAGGGAACTTGGAGGGAGGGTGTATCGTTGATGAGCCTTGGGTTTGCACTGCTCCTCCTCCTCCTCTTCCTCCCTCTCCTCCTCCTCCTCCTCCTCCTCCTCTTCCTCCTCCTCCTCCTCCTCCTCCTCCTCCTCGTCCTCCTCCTCCTCCTCCTCGTCCTCCTCCTCCCTCCCTCCCTCCCTCCCTCCCTCTCCTCCTCCCCTGCCGCTGGGCCCATCCTCGCTACGTTTGCACTCGGCTCGGAGACCTCGGGGCTCTGACCCGAGGCTTCGGCCAGACCGAGGCGTAGAGCCGTGGTGGCTCGGGGGGGCGGTCGTCCCCGGGCCTGGCCTACCTGCGCGGGGCGCACGCCGCCCTCGTCGGGCCCACGGGCAGCTGCCGCTTCCCAGAGATCCAACGCATTGAAAAAATCAAGACGGAGGTTTTTTTGTACTCTTCGGCCTCCAGGAGCCCTTGCTGGGCCGCGGGGCCGTCAAAAAAACGACCCAGGATGAGAAACCCATCCTGGGGAATGGGCCGGGGCTTCTGGGGGCCCCGCAATGAAAAAATCACGACATCGGATCTCTGGGTTCGATCTGGGCCTCCGGACCTTTGGTCGAATGGTCTCGTCGGGGCTCAAGAGACGGGGGTCGATGCAGTCGGGGGTGAGTCGGAGCGCCGGATCTCGCGGGATCCTGCAGAGCCAAGGGTGCACTGACCCGGGCTTGGGTGCAGGATCCCGCAGGATCCCGCAGGATCCTGCAAGGCCTGACTGACCAGGGTCTGGGTTGGCCTGGGCCAGTAGGTCCCCGATCTCGGTCGGTTGCACCAGCCGCTTCGCGCGGCTCTCGTGGCCAGAGCCTGGGGGTCGCCCGCAGCGCCTTGGAAGGTGGCTCCCAGCTGTGCGGGGCTCCCTCCGCGGCCACTCCCCCCTCTCCTCCTCCTCCTCCTCCTCCTCCTCCTCCTCCTCCTCCTCCTCCTCCTCCTCCTCCTCCTCCTCCTCCGTCCGCTGAGTCTGGCTGCCCTTCTCGGCCGGCTGCGTCCGGCCCCAGGGCGCCGCGATCCCCGAGCACGTGACTCTTCGTGCTGCGCGCTCCTGCGCACCCGCGGCGGCGCCGCGCCCTCGACGGCCTGGGCAGAGGTGGCTGCAGGGGGCCAGCCTGGCCCCCGCAGTCCACGGCGAGCTGCGGCAGCGCGCAGAGCGATGCCTGCGCAGCGTGGCAACACGATGGCCATCCCAGGTAGGAGGTTGGCCAGGACAGTGCCCGCGACGGCGACTGCTGCTGCTGATGGTTCAGCTGCAAGGGCCGAAGAGGGGAGATGCATGTGAACGTGGATGCAGGGTGCATTTCAATCCGATCGATCCGTTTTGGTATCCGTTATGGCCAGCCTGATCAGATTCGATTGCGATATTCCAGCGATCCGATGTGGCCTCACGCCCACATGGCGCGGTTGTGCATCCTGGCGCGGCCGATCCGATCTGTTTTTGTTTTCATGCTGGTGCGGCCCGATCCGACGCACTTTCCTGATTCGACCTGGCTGGCATCACGAGCTGGCAACCCACATCAATGTAATCCATTTCCACCGCTGCTTCTGCTGCTGCCCAGAGGTGGACTGGACGCCGGCGGTAGACCAGCAAGCCTCGTTACCGCTGGGGACTTCGTAAATCTTCCTCTCACCGAGTATCGAGCTCGAGAAGCCAGAAACTACAAGATGAGCCAAGAACATGTTAGTTTCCTGTGTGTCTGCGCGAAGCTAGTCGCAGTCGCAGGGGGGCGTTTGGGGATCGCTCCTCCTCCTCCTCCTCCTCGTCCTCCTCCTCCTCCTCCTCCGCCTCCTCCTCCCCGTCCTGCTCCTCCTCCTCCTTCTCTTCCTCCTCTTCCTCCTCCTCCTCCTCCCCCTCCTCCCCCTCCTCCTCCTCCTCCTCCTCCTCCTTCTGCTCCTCTCCCTCTTCCTCCTCCTCCTCCTCCTCCTCCCTCCTCCTCCTCCTCCTCCTCCCTCTCCTCCTCTTCCTCCTCCTCCTCTCCTCCTCCTCCTCTCCTCCTCCTCCTCCTCCTCCTTTTCCCCCTCCTCCTCCTCCTCTCCTGCTCCTCCTCCTCCTCCTCCTCCCTCTTCTCCTCCTGCTCTTCCTGCTCCTCCTCCCTCCTCTCCTCCTCCTCCTCTTCCTCCTCCTCCTCCTCCTCCTCCTCCTCCTCCTCCTCCTCCTCCTCTCTCCTCCTCCTCTCCTCCTCCTCCTCCTCCTCCTCCTCCTCCTCCTCCTCCTCCTCCTCCTCCTCCTCCTCCTCCTCCTCCTCCCTCCTCCCCCTCCCTCCTCCTCCTCCTCCTCCTCCTTCCTCCTCCCCTCCTCCTCCTCCTCCTCCTCCTCCTCCTGCCCTCCTCCTCCCTCCTCCTCCTCCTCCTCCTCCTCCTCCTCCTCCTCCTCCTCCCTCCTCCTCCTCCTCCTCCCCCTCCTCCTCCCCCTCCCCCTCCTCCTCCTCCTCCTCCTCCTCCTCCTCCTCCTCCTCCTCCGCCTCCATTTCTTCTCCTTGTATTGATAACTTTCCTTTGTCTCACCCCGAGGCTAATTTTTAGGACGGGCCGGGCGTTTCGCCTGAAACTTCCTCACCATTTATGACTCTGTAGCTTAAACAGTGACAGCATTTTCACAGATGGAGGGCGGGTCGTTTTCAAAATGTGGCTCTCGCCTTAGCGCCGCGCGCATTCGTTTTCAAGTTTGCAAGATTCGTTTTCAAACTTTGCAAGAGCTTCACGGATTGAGGGCGGTTTCTTTTCAAAATGTGGCTCTCGCCTTGGAGCCGCGCGCATTCGTTTTTAAACATTTGCAACAGTTTAACGGATTCCCATGATCAACGTGCCAGAACTGGTGTTTTGAAAGGATTCAGGATTATGCGGGTGCAACAGTTATGTTGATTCGCGGTGTTGAAGTCCCAATAATGGCGTTTTGGAGCGATTCCCGATCGTCAAGACGCAGCAGTCAGGTTGATACGTGGCGTTGACATCCCGAGAACAATGTGTTCTGGCATGCTTCAAGATCTTCAAACGGTTGTCTTCCAACGGGGCAGTTCCTTGTGGAAATGAACCCTTGTAGGGGCCTGTGAAGAGGGAGCTTGGAGGGAGGGTCAATTCCGACATCGTTGATGACTCTTGGGTTTACACTAGTCCTCGTCCTCCTCCTCCTTCCCCCTCCTCTCTTCCTCCTCCTCCTCCTCCTCCTGCTCCTCCTCCTCCTTCTCGTCCCCCCCCCTCCTCCTCCTCCTCCTCCTCCTCCTCCTCCTCCTCCTCCTCCTCCTCCTCCTCTTCCTCCTCCACCTAATCCTCATCCTCATCCTCCTCAGGAGGCTGCCTGCTGCATTGGAGCTGCAGCACACTTCCACCGCCCGCTTCTGCGGACGCTGGCGGTCCGCCGCCAACCTCGCTACTGCGGGGGACCTGGTGAAGCTTCCAGCAGTGCAGCTCCAGAGGTGGGCCAGCACAAGACCCGAGAGCGCCCAGACTTCCGCTTCACTCTGGGGCCCAGGGGGGCCGCTTGGGCCTCGTGATGGGTGCTCTGGAGGCCTTGGGGGCCTCCCTGGACATCCCCTGGGAGCACCCTGGGCCAGGGACACCTCCAGCAGCGCCCCAAAGACGGACACCCGCTACCCCCCGGCTGTCGGGTCTTGGCTCGCTTTTCTGGCTGTCCTTCGGGGCGCTCCGGGCACCCCTGGACGCCGCACGGCGCGGCGCAGCTGCTGCACCGCATCCCGAGGCAGGAGCCGACAGAAGCTCACGAACGCTGCCGACCTGACGTCGCTCGTGCCTCTTGCCTCCCGCCGCTGCCCCCGGGCAGGTCGACTACGAGCGGCTCCGGGGCTCCGCGCTGCCGACCGTGCGGGCCGTGCTCCTCAACAGCTGCCGGGCCGTCGGCGAGGGCCTGGGGCTTCTCGCGCTCGTGGACAGGCTCTTGCCCCCGCCGTCGTCGTCGTCGTCGTCGTCGTCGTCGTCGTCGTCGACGTCGTCGTCTCGGCCGCCCTTGTCGTCATCTTCGTCGTCGCCACGACCGCTGCTGCCGCGGCTCTCGTCTTCGCCGCCGCCGCCGCCGCCGCTGTCGTCGTCGCCTCCTCCTCGCTCCTCCTCCTCCGCCTCCTCGCTCCTCCCCCTCGCTCTTCCCTCTCGCTCTTCCGCCTCCTCCTCCTCCACGCTCCTCGCTCCTCCTCTTTGCCCCCCCTCCTGGCTCCTCCTCGCACTCCTCGCCTTCCACGCTCTCGCCCTCCTCCTCCTCCTCGTTTTCATTATCCTCCTCCTCCTCCTCCTCCTCCTTCCCCTCCTCCTCCTCCTCCTCCTCCTCCTCCTCCTCTTTCTCCTCCTCCTCCCTCTCCTCTCCTCCTCCTCCTCCTCCTCCTCCTCCTCCTCCTCCTCCTCCTCCTCCCCCTCCTCCTCCTTTACTCTCTTTTCTTATGAATGACTCCTCGCTGTTGCAGCTCGAGGCCAGTCGGACGGGCGGGCCGGGCCTCTCGCCTGAGCCTCACGTTTCAAAAGTGGCAACAGTTTCACGGAGGGCGGGTCGCTTCCACGATATGGCTCTCGCCTCAGCGTAGCGCACATTCGTTTCAAACACTTGCAAGGGTTTCACGGATGGAGGGCGGGTCGTTCTCGACATGCGGCCCTCGCTTTGGCGTCGCGCATCTGAAGCTGCGGGTACCGCGAGGCAAATGAGAAGAAGCTGGGGGGAACGAGTGAGGGATGTGCCGACATGGGGCGGACGCGCCATGCGGACCTTGCCACTCGGGCCTTGGATGGAGCTCCCTGTGGGGCAACGGCACTTGTGAGAGGTGAGCCGAATCGGATGCGGGTGCGCCATGCGGACCCTGCCGCTGGGGCCTGCGGTGGAGCTTCCTCTGGGTCAGCGGCACGTGTGAGGAGTGTGCCGAAGCAGGGACGGGTACGCCATGCGGACCCTGCTGCTTGGGTCTTCGGTGGAGCTCCCTCGGGGCCACGAGACGTGGGAGGGGTTTGCCGAGTATGGTGCGGGTGCGCCATGCACACCCTGCCGCTGGGGCCTTCGATGGGCCTCGAATGGGGCCACACAACGTGTGAGGGGTGTGCCTAATTGGGTGCGGGAACGCCATGCGGACCCTGCCGCTGGGGCCTTCGGTGGAGTTCCCCTATCGGGCCCGCGAAACGTGTGAGGGGCTTGCCGAGTAGGGTGCGGGTGCGCCATGCAGGCCGTACCGCTGGGGCCTTCGGTGGGCCTCCCTAGGGGGCCACACAGCGTGAGAGCTCCTCCTCGCTCCTCCTTGCTCCTGCTCATCCCTCCTCCCCTCTCCTCCTCGCTCCTCCTGGCCCTCCTCGCTCTCCTCGCTTCTCCTGGTCCTCCTTTTTGCTCCTTCCCTTCGCCCCTCCGGGCCCTCCCCCCTTTCGCCCAGGCAGCGGCCCCTCGCCCTGCGGGACAAGCAGCGGCCCCTGGCGCTGGAGGACACGCCAGCAGCTGCCTCTCGATGGTGGTGGTCGCGATCTCCTGTCGCGCAAGGGAGGGGGAGGAGGAGCGGGAGGAGGCTGGGAAGGAGGAGGAGGAGGAGGAGGAGGAGGAGGAGGAGGAGGGGGAGGAGGAGGAGGAGGAGGGGGAGGAGGAGGGGGAGGAGGAGGAGGGGGAGGAGGGGGAGGAGGAGGAGGAGGAGAAGGAGGAGGAGGAGGAGGCGGAGGAGGAGGAGGAGGAGGAGTGAGTGAGTGAGTGAGTGAGTGAGTGAGTGAGTGAGTGAGTGAGTGAGTGAGTGAGTGAGTGAGTGAGTGAGTGAGTGAGTGAATGAGGAGGAGGAGGAGGAGGAGGAGTGAGGAGTGAGGAGTGAGGAGGAGTGAGGAGGAGTGTGCAGTGAGGAGTGAGGAGTGGGGGAGTGTTGTGATAATGATGCTGGTGATGGTTGTGATAATGATGCTGGTGACAACGATACTGATAATGGCGATGATGATGCTGCTGATGGTGGTGACACTCATGATTCTATTGTCGTGCTGAGCACGATGCTGGTGCTGGTGGAAGTGGTGGTGGTGGTGGTGATGATGACGCTGATGTTGGTGATGGTGGTGGTGATGATGAGGACGGTGGTGGCGGTCCTGGTCCTGATGATGAGGATCACGCTGATGATGTCGATCATGATACTGATGATGATGATGATGATGATGATGATGGTGATGATGATGATGCTGATGATGATGATGATGATGATGCTGAGGATGAAGATGAGGATGAGGATGAGGATGGTGGTGGTGGTGATAAGCGTGATGCTGATGGCGGTGATGATGACGATGGTGACGGTGAATATTGAGATGCAGTTGTTGCTGCTGCTGATGATGACGATGGTGATGACGATGATGATGATGATGATGATGATGATGATGATGATGATGATGGTGATGATCATGATGATGACGATGATGACGATGATGACGATGATGATGTTGATGAGGATCGTGATTATGTCGATGATGTTTATGTTTATGCTGATGATCATGATGATGCTGCTGCTGATGAGGATGTTGATCATGATGGTGATGCTGCTGCTGCTGCTGATGATGATGATGATGATGATGATGATGAGTATGATGGTGCTGGTGGAGGTGATGATGAACATGATGATGCTGATGATGCTGCTGCTGATGATGATGATGATGATGATGATGATGATGATGATGATGATGGTGATGATGATCAGGATGCCGACCCTCCAGGCTCACGCCGCATCCGCCGACCACTTCACGGAGTTCAAGGTTTTGATGGTGCTATTCGGTGTTCGGAGGGTTCACGTTGCGCAGTTGGCAGGCCGTTCAGTGCAGTGGCAAGTGCCAGAGGAAATTGCCGAAATCGGCTTTCTCCATGGACGCGAACCATGTCGCGCGTGACGAGAAGAAGGGCATCTTGAAGTGCACGGCATGCAAATGATACCAGTAGGGCGCCCGTGCCATGGCCCGTAGAAGTAGGAGCAGCGGGGGTGCGAGCGAGAGGGAGGACGAAGGCGATTGAAAGAGAAACGCAAAGAAGGTGAAAGCGGAGGAGGAGGAGGAGGAGGAGGAGGAGGAGGAGGAGGAGGAGGAGGAGAAGGGAGGAGCAGGGGGAAGATGGAGGAGAGGCGGAAGGGAAGTCAAAGAAAAGGAGGAGGAGGAGGAGGAGGAGGAGGAGGAGGAGGAGGAGGAGGAGGAGGAGGAGGAGGAGTCACGATCTGGTCTTGAGGCGTCACGGGGGCGTCTTGGAGGTAGTGTATGGGCCTCTTGGGGGTTGTCTGGGAGCCTGTTGGGGGTCTTTTGGGCCTCGCTTGGGGCTCCCTGGGACCCTCTTGGGAGGTCCTTGCAGCAGGATGAGGAATCTCGGAGCCAAAGGGCCAACAAGTTTCCCTCCCGGCTCCCTCTTGGAGCCGTCTGGAGGCCCTCGTGGGCCGTTTTGGGCGCTTCTTGGGCCGTCTTTGGGCCCTCTTGGACCTCTCTCGGCAGTTGCCGAGGCCGTCCTGGGAGGATATGGAAGGTTTCGTGGCCCGTGTCGGACGTTGCGAAACCGCAAGAGGCCAATATGGTAAGAATGAACGTTTCACGAAGGGAATGGGACGATTTCTGCTTCTCGGGGCTCGCTTGGACTCTTGGGGGCCTCTTGGGTCGTCTTGGGGGCTTCGGAGGCTTTCTAGGAGCCATCGTGGGCGTCTTGGAAGGATATTTCGGCGACTCGTCGCCCTCTTGGACGGTCAGGGAGGCGTTTTGGTACCCTCTTGGCTCATTTTGGGGCCTTCTGTTCCCCCGTGACGCGTTCGGCGGTGGGTCGTACCGGGCGAAGGGGGGTCAATTGCCGGTTTGGGGTCCAAGGGGGGAGCTTAAGGGGGGGGGAGAATCTCACACGCCTAGAGACCCACAAGCGGTCGGCGGATCATGCTGATCATTCGGCTGTTGCTGCTGCTGCTGCTGCTGCTGCTGCTGCTGATGATGATGATGATGATGATGATGATGATGATGATGATCGTGGTGCTGTTGGTGAGGATGGTGATGATGATCGTGGTGGTTTGTGGTGGTGATGATGGGGACGATTGTCATTATGCAGCTGACGACGATGATGATGATGATGCTGACGATGATGATGATGATGATGATGATGATGGTGGTGATGATGATGATGATGATGATGCTGACGATGATGCTACTTACGATGATAATGATGATGCTGCTGATGATGATGCCGATGCTGATTCTGATGATGATGATGGTGATGATGATGATGATGATGATGGTGTCGACGATTATGATTCTGCTAATGATAAGGTTGATGATGATGGTGATGGTGATGGTGGTGATGATGGTGGTGGTGGTGCTGATGCTAATACTGATGATGATGATCATGATGATGATGATGATGATGATGATGCGGATGCTGCTGCTGCTGATGACGCTGATCATGTTTATGATGACGATGATGGTGATGGTGGCGGTGGTGGTGCTGATGCTGCTGATCATGACGATGCTGATGATGGTGGTGGTGGTGTTGATACTGATGATGCTGATGATGATGATGATGATGATGATGATGATGATGATGATAATGATGAGGATGATGATGATGATGGTGATGATGATGATGATCATGATGATGATGATGATGATGATGATGATGATGACGATGATGACGATGATGATGATGATGCTGATGATGATGATGCTGATGATGATGATGATGATGATGATGATGATGATGATGATGATGATGATGATGATGATGAGGAGAAGGAGGAGGAGGAGGAGGAGGAGGAGGAGCAGGGGGAAGATGGGGGAGAGGCGGAAGGGAAGTCAAAGAAGAGGAGGAGGAGCAGGAGGAGGAGGAGGAGGAGGAGGAGGAGGAGGAGGAGGAGGAGGAGGAGGAGGAGGAGTCACGATCTGGTCTTGAGGCGTCACGGGGGCGTCTTGGAGGTAGTGTATGGGCCTCTTGGGGGTTG